TTATAAAATTAAAATGCCCTAACCTACCTCTTTTATTTCAAAGAATAACAAAGTAATAAAACATACTAGTACTTGCTAATTCTGAATATTCTAGAATAGTAAATACAAAACATAATTATTGAAAACACAATTTTTCTGGGGGACCAGGATTTCACTTCTCTGTAGAATGACCCATAGATGGTTTTGGTCTCTGAATCAGTATATACATGTATGAAACTTAGTCGAAAAATAACATTTATCTGTCCGTTATATGAACTAGGCACTTCACAGACATAGAAGCAGCCACTGCCCTGAAAAGGTTACAGTGTAATAAGACAAAAAATTGGTAGGAGAGTGAGGGAGGAAAGCAGAATTTGGGGAAAATTAATAATGGACAAGAAAAATGAAGCAGGGGATGGGGGAAAGAAACATGCAAAATTAAAGAAATGGTGTTTCATATTGTGTGGACATGCATCTTTTTTTGCTTCACAGATCTAATGCATCTTGATGATGTATTGCACTGTTGCTGTGTCTAATGGGCTGTAAGGATGATAAGATGTTCTAAAGAATATTTTAATAGGAAAAAAATCTAACCTCAGCCCAAACGTGGAACTGTCTCATAGTGCCTGAATAGGGAAACAAGTTTATGGAGCAAAAGACCCTCCAGTTAAAGAAAACAAGCGTATATAAATTGGTGCACTTTTGCTCCTATTAGGAGTCTGTCATGAGAACTGGGGCCAATGCTTATGGAATACGCTGCTTGCTGTTTTCACCATTAAATAAGTAAAGTCTTGTAGTCACATCCTGTAGCTATTATCAACCCTGTGCTTCTGTCCCACCATCTAGGCTATCTATAAGATGGTTTCCTCAGTAATGAAGATGCCAGAAGATGAATCAACACCAGAGAAAAGAACAGAGAAAATCTTCCGTCAGATGGACACCAATCGAGATGGTAGGAATATCACGCATTTTCCTTTAATTCTCTATACCCTGAGGTTAATGGGAGCTTACACTCTATCAAAGAGCTACACAGATAGGAATGGAAAGATGTCACTTTGATGTCAAGATAGTCACTGGTCTCAGTCTCTAAGATGTGCCTGCTCCTTTAAGAGCAGAAGCAGCCTAGCTAGAGAGCCCTGAGAACTAGGCAGTGCTCCCCAGGTGCAGGTTGCCCCAGCAGCAGGGGGGGAGCAGGTTGCCCTGGCAGCAGGCTAATGAGGGAATTAGCTGCCACCTGCCCCTGGTCAGCTGACCAGAAGGAGACAGGGCTCTGGGCATATATAAGCCCCAGGGCTGGGGCTGGTAGGAGTTAGTTCTCTGGCAGCAGCCAGGGGTAAGGAGCTCTTGCAGGCAAACTTACTCAGAGATGCTTGGTTGCCTGTTGTGCTACTGGTGAGACTAACGGGCTCCAAGAGCTCCTAAAGTACCTGGGGCTAGGGCAGACACGTTACGGAGAGAAAAGCTTGCCTTCACATGTGTCTAGGACCACAGCACATTGAGCTGAGTCGGAGCAGCTCCAGCTGGCAGATGGCCCAGGGGGTCAGCCTGCCAGTCC